CTGCATGGACAGAAAAAAAAAGTTATTTAACGACAAAATGGCAGATAATTATGCAGTGACACTGCAGGGGCACGATCTACACATCAAAACTACTTCATTATGCTAAAGCAGACTTGTAGTGCACCTTTGAATATGTCAAAAAAGTTATCACTCCATTAGAAATACCTTATTCAAAAGATAATTTTTAAATAAAAATACAAACACCTATATAATACATTAATGCTATTACCCATCAACTTATCGGAAGCAGTTAGATACACCAAGCTCATTTTACCAATGGACAAGACATTGGTGTAGGAACCAATTAAAATTGGTATGGGAAAGCATTTCATAATAAGTTCAGCCCCACCAGAGAGCATACATTAAACCAGTGCTACTCAATCTTTTTATGGAGAAGTACCCATGCAGGTCTTAAACAAAAATCATAAGTACCCCTGACTCGAAAAAGTAATTTATTGGTTTTAAATTCCAAATTTATTGTGTAGATATTTAAGTTAATCTCATATTGGAGAACAATCCTGATTAAGATAGTATAGAATAATTTCAAGACATTGTGCTGCCTGGGTCAAAGGATGAAATGCTGCCCCCCCACTGTCTTGCACCAAAAGTACGCCAGTGTATATAGTGAATGCAATGTCTGTTTGTGTAGTGAATGCAGTATTTATATCATATTCAGTGTGTAGTGAATGCAGTGTCTGTGTGTCGTGGATGCTGCGTCTGTTATTGTGTGTATTGGATGCAGTGTGTGTTGTGTGTATAGTGGAGTCAGTGTGTGTGGTGGATGCAGTGTGCCTAGTGGATGCAGTGTGTGTAGTGGATGTAGTGTCTGTGTAGTGCATGCAGTGTGTGTGTAGAGCTGGATAAATGCTAGTGGGGGTGAGCATTTAAATTAAATTGGGGTTATCTCCCCTTCCTGCCTGTTACCTGTGGGCTGGAAAGGGCGGAACAGTGTGTAGAAAGGTGACAGTATAGGGGGAACAGTGTGTAGGACGGTGACCATATAGGAGGGCAGTGTGTAGGAAAGGGACAGTGTGGGGGCAGTGTGAATGAAGGCTGTGGGGGCAGGGTGTGGTGGTGACAGTGTGGGGGGCAGGATATGAGAGTGACAGTGGTGGGAGGCAGGATGTGAGTGTGACAGTGGTGGAAGGCAGTATGTCAGGGTGACAGTGACAGTGTGGAGTTGACAGTGGTGGGGAACAGGGTGTGAGGGTGACAGTGTAGGGGGCAGGATGTGAGCGTGACAGTGGTGGAGGGAGTATGTGATGGTGACAATGACAGTCGTGGGGGACAGGATGTGAGAATGGCAGTAAGGGGGCAGGATATGAGGGTGACAGTGTAGGGGGCAGGATGTAAGGATGACAGGGTGCCAGTGGGGGGCAGGATGTGAGGGTGACAGTATGTGGGCAGGATATGAGGGTGACAGTGACAGTGTGGCAGTGACAGTGGTGAATGGCAGTGTGTGGAAGTGACAGTGGGGGGCAGTATGTAAGGGTGACAGTGACAGGGTGACAGTGGGGGACAGGGTGTGAGGGTGACAGGGTGACGGGGGGCAGGGTGTAAGGGTGACAGTGTCAAGGTGACAGTGCTAGGCAGGGTATGAGGGTGACTTTGGAACAGTGGGGGGACAGGGTGTGAGGGTGACAGTGGGGGTCAGAGTGTGAGGGTGACAGTGGGGGGTAGGGTGTGAGGGTGACGGGGGGTGCAGGGTGTGAGGGTGACAGGGTGACCGTAGGAGGCAGGGTGTGAGGGTGACTGGGGGCAGGGTGTGAGGGTGACAGTGGGGGTGCAGAGTATGAGGGTAAAAGTGGGGGGGTAGGGTATGAGAGTGACATTGTGGGGGCATGGTGAGGGGGATGACAGGCTGTAGGGAGGCTGGTTACATATCTTGTCTCTCAGTGCTCCCCATTTCCTGGTGATCCAGTGGCTGAATCTACAGGTCTATAGCTCCGTCGGGCGCGAGCTGCAGACCTAGTTCTCACAAACTCAGATTAGAGCTTTGCCGAGGTAATCCGCGGCAACGCGCTGTGAGCTTGAGAGCCTTCCATCACTTGGTCTGCAGCTTTGCACTCGGCGGAGCTGCAGACAGGATGTTCCCCCTGGGCAGACTGATGGAGGGGCTCGGCAGCATACAGGGCAAGCCACCAGGCCCCTCCTGGTGTCTGGCAGGACCCGACGAATCAGTCTGCATTAAGGTTTAAAGAGCCATCTCTGCTACATATATGTGCAGCAGAGGCAACCCGGGTCGGTAAAATGCCACCCCTGTTAAAGGGGACCGGTTGGCCCTGCCCCTATGGCACACGTACCAGTGGTTGAGAAACTGGGTATTAAACCCTGTTACATATTACCACTCTTTTAACATATTTTGATTCGTTTATCTTTTGTAAACAGAGAAATAAATGATCTTAAAAGCTACACCAGATTTTGTGGGAGGGATTCATACCGCCCTAACCCCTCAGTTCCTACACCCACTGGGCAAGATTCTATTCTGAAATAAGGGACTAGGCGTAAAACGTTATTTAAGGTTTGTGATTTAAGTAAAAATAGATATAAATGAAAGAAAGGCATAATAACTGTTAAAGCTTTTAAAAATGGTTAATATTAACAAGGTTATTCACAAAAGTGAAAATTCAAAGTGAATTTCAAATTAAAGCCAGCGTAAATAATGTAAAGCATAGTTGACCAATATAATTACTCCAGTTCTGCTATTCTGACCACGCAATTCACTTTGAATTCACCTTGATTCTTACTTTAGTGATTAACCCTATAAGGTTGTTTTTGAAGGAATGTAGGCATAATAGAACTAATGTAATTTATTATTTAGATGTTTATAGATTATTCAGAGGTTCTTTTCTGTCTTTCCGTTTTTTTTCTTTTTGTCAGGGCCGCGGGTCTGTCTTGGAGAAAATCTCGCTCGTATGGAAATATTCCTCTTTTTTACCACGCTCCTGACGCACTTTGAATTCCAGTGGCCGGACCCAGCATCAACTCCAGACCTCACACCAGTGTTTGGGGTCTCCCAGGCCCCAAAAAGATTTAAAATTCGTCTGGTATCAAAGAAATAAATGTAATCTCCAGAAGACAAATTACAATATACGTTTTAACAGAGCAACAAATGCTCAACTATTACAGGAACTAACACAACATATCCAATCTTTGTTAAAGGCAGGTTATGAAAGGAGGTTTTACCCCCTAAGGATCAAGGCTATTATGAGATGTGACCAAAGCCTTTTTGGCACTTTTATCATGAGTTCATTCTTCCAAAACATATTCTATATCACTTTTAAAGAAGACATAGTCTGAAGAAAATATTTGAAAATTTGTAAAACGAAAACACTTTTATTTCTCCTTTTTAAATAACTTCTACACAACAAGTGCAGCTAAAGAAAACTCACTCAAAATAGATTCACTAATTATCCCTGGTTGTTGATATGCCCAATATGTCTCGGATGTCAATACATTTTTAGAATTTTATAAACAAATATTGTAAGGAGTGAATTGTTGTTGTTTGTTTGTTTTTTGTCAATCTTTCTTTTATTCAAGTGAATTGTGTTTTTAAAGCTAACATTTTTAAAAAATATTACAACTGAGATTACAACTTTTATAGTAGTTACAGAATCTAAAACTTCTACATAAAAGTATATAATTGTTGAAAGTACATCCAGCTAATTATTTAAAGGAACACTATAGGGTCAGGAATACAAACATGCATTCCTGACCCTAAAACTCCATCTAGACCCCCTGCTCCCCTTTATATAGTAAAAATCTTACCTTTATTTCAGTCTGCTGCTGCTGGCTCTGCCCATGATCTGCGTGCTTGCCTGACATCATCAGAAGTGTTTTTCAAAGTCAATCACAATGCTTTCCTATAGGGCAGCATTGGATTGGCTGAGTTTGTCAAGGAGGCAGATCAGGGGCAGAGTCAGCACAAGCAAAACACAGCCCTTACCAATCAGCATCTCCTCATAGAGATGCATTGAATCAATGCATCTCTATGAGGAAAGTTCAGTGTATCCACGCAGAGGGTGGAGACACTGAATGGCAGTGCTACACAATTTGCAGCATTGCCCAAGGAACACCTCTAGTAGCCAGGGCCAGATTAAGAGCCCAGTCGGCCTGGTGCTGACAATTATGATAGGCCTAATTACAGAATCTTATCGACCAAAAACACTAAAACAATCATACCTCCCAAACGTCATGTATCTGATGGATATGGTGTTGGAGGGAAACTTAAAGGATGCAGCTATACGAAAACACATACTTTATGCTAATCTCTCTCTAATTCATGCTTTCATCTTTAAAGTAAAACCATACCTCTAACAGCAGTGTCCAGTGAGGCAGGGAGTCAATGGGCAGGGTAAAAGGGTTTGCCACTGGCGTCAATCACGTGACCAGACCTGCCAAAAGGGGTGAACATGCCCAAAAAGGGGGCATGTTTGTCCAAAGAATTGGAAAGCCAGCCTGGCATGAATGCATGTCAGGCTGCCTGCCAGTCATGCAGGCTGTCCAACTAAGGGCATACTATGCAGGCAGAACCCTGAGCTTGACATAAATGCATCAATTAAATGCATAATTAATTATGTATGTGTGATATCACATGATGTAAATCACATGGAGTGACATAAGTGAAAATTCTGTAAAATCACCAAATACTCACAGTTTGAGTCTGCTGTATAGATGAATTGCTCCCAGTGTCTCCCTGTCTCCCAGTGTGTGTCTCGCAAGTCACCCAGTGTCCCTATGTCACCCAGTCCCCTAGTCTCTCAGTGTCTGTGTCCACATTTCTCCCAGTGTCCCATGTCTCAGTGTGTCCCCATGTCACTAGTATACTAGGGGACACAGTGAGACATGGGGACACTGAGACACTTGGGGACACTGGGCGACATGGGGGCTCTTGTGGATACAGACATGGGGGCACTGGGAGACATGGGGACACAGACATTTGGGGACACTGGGAGAAATGGGGACACTTGGAGACATGGGGAACCTGAATCATTTGGGGACACTGAAAGACATCGGAACACAGACACTGGGAGACATGGGGACACTAGGGGCACTGGCTGGTAGACAGACACTGGGAGACATCGGGACACGTGTGGACATAGACATGGGGACACTGAGACATTTGGGGACACTGGGAGACATGGGTGTGGCGGAACCAGCCTCGTCACTGGGCATTGGAGAAGACTGATTGCCAACCTCCTGCCCTGTGACTATGGCCCCATGTTGAAATGCTTGATTTACCCCTGCAAAGACCTGAAAGCCATACCCCAGATAGCTATGCCATGGAGCCCATTCGTATAACGAAAGACTATGTGAAAGACTTTGGCTCCATGGCAATTGAACTGTATGTATGTGATCTGAGCGCCATTCAGTAATAATGTGCGCTCAGATCTAAGCTATCTGGGGATATGTTGAATGTACCTGTTTTATGCAATAGCTGCACAGTTATATATTTTTATGTATTTTATTGTCTTTTGCTACAATGTGTTCAATGGAGTTTTGCCTCTGTCCTTGGAGATAATTGGATTACTTCCCAATTATCTCCAGGATAGAAGACTCTGTGGAACTGGTTTTGGGCAGAAAAGCCATGCTTCATTTGGTCACAAAGGACATCGATCTAACTTTTGACCCACTGGACCATGGAAAATGTAAGTTTTATGTGAATGTGATGCATACTTTTAAAGTTATGAATATTGTGTAAAACTGTGTATTTTCCTGCCTGTGATAATTACATTAAGGTAATTGTATCACAGGCAGAGGGGAGGATTTTGTGTGGGAGTGTATGTGTGTGTTGTACGTATTGATTGGTTGTTCTGCAAAACCCTGTGGGCGGTACTATGTTTGTAAAATGGGCATAAAAGCAGAGTGTTGGATTAAAAGCTTCAGTTCTACTTCACCCTCAATTTGGAGTGCCCTCTCTTATTGGTGGAATCTGCTGCAAGGGTTTTTCATACTCCCTTGCTAAATCACTAGTAAGCTCTTGTAAGAGCTTGTTCCTGCCTTGCTCTCTGGAGGAGTCTACGGTGGTTGTGGTGTTTGCTGCAGTGCTTGGAGTCCTCAGGAAGTGCTAGGAGCATCCTTCAACGGAGGTACCCAGTCGGGGTGCCAGTTTACAATAGGGACACTAGGCCCACTGAGATACTTGGGGACACTGGCTGGGAGACATGGGGACACTGATATACTAGGTCCCTTGTGTCTACGTGTCCCAATGTCCCTATCTCTCACAGCATCCCCCTGTGTCTCAGCATCCCCATATCTCCCAGTGTCCCCTAGTGTCTTTGTCCCCTAGTGTCTCAGTGTCCCCATGTCTCCCTGCTGCTTTTTCCCCCAATCCTTCACTTACCTGCAGAGCTGCTGTCTGGACTCTGTGCTCTGTAGCTGCTCCCCCACGGATCAGTGAGTAGTAGAGAGAGCCAGGGATATGCTGTAACGTCCTATCTCTGCCTCTCTCCACATACGGTGACCCCTACTGGCCGGTGCTGATATTGCAGAGTAATCTCCGTTTATACTGGGAAAAATACCTGCAATTGTATTGCTGGTATTACTGCAATACCGACACGGCCGGGCAGCCTTAAATACCGGCTGTGCCAGTAAAATACCAGTCAGGTGGCAAACCTAAGAGTAGTTTTGTTTTTGTTTTTTTTAATGGGCCTATACCATGGGCCTGGGCCAGGAGCTGCAGTTCCATCAGCCCCTATGTTAATCCGGCCCTGCTTGTAACCATTTTAAGGTGGCCAGTGGCGGTATCCCTAGGCTGTAATGTAAACACTGCATTTTCTCTGAAAATACAGTGTTTGCTGCAAAAAGCCTGAAGGGAATAATTATACTCACCAGAACTAATACAATAAGCTGTAGTTGTTCTGGTGACCAGGCCCGGACTGGCCATTGGGCATACCGGCAAATGCCCGGTGGGCCGCGATGTCCGTGGGCCGAGGCCGGCAGGGGAGATCACAGGATCTCCCCTGTCAGCCCCTGCAGTGCCGGCGCTACCCGACCGCCGGCCCTGCTGTGTGCCTCCATGGGCCGGTGGGGAGATCGCAGATCTCCCTCACCGGCCCACAGGCAGTTACAGGCAGCCACCAGCAGGCTGGTTGAGGGAGGGAGGCAGGAGAGAGGACCGGCGCAGCTCTAACAAGCTCCGCCGGGTCCTCTCGCGGGATTCTGAGCGTTGCCGCGGTTACCACGGCAACGCTCAGATCTCGCGATAGTGAACTCTAGCCTGCAGGTTAGAGTTCACTCTCACCACTGGACCACCAGGGAAGGATGGCCTCATGGCACCCCAGGCAGAACGGATCTCCTCCCCACCTCCCAGGATAAAAGTAAGAAGGGAGGGAGGGGGGGGGGATATAATTTTTTTTATTAATAAAATAAATATATTTAAATATAAAATACATTCACACACACAGCATCCCCAGACAGACACAGCACCCAGAAAAACACACACAGCACCCAGACAACACACACAGCACCCAGACAGACACAGCACCCAAACACACACAGCACCCAGACAACACACACAGCACCCAGACACACACAGCACCCAAACACACACAGCACAGACAACACACACAGCACCCAGACACACACAGCACCCAGACAGACACAGCACCCAAACACACCCAGCACCCAGACAGACACAGCACCCAGACACAGCACCCAGACAACACACAGCACCCCCAAACACACACAGCACCCAGACAGACACAGCACCCCACACACACAGCAGACACAGCACCCTCAAACACACACAGCACCCCAAACACACACAGCACCCAGACAGACACAGCACCCCCACCCCCACAGCACCCCAACACACAGCACCCCAGACAGACACAGCACAGCACAGAAACACACACAGCACCCTCAAACACACACAGCACCCCCAGACACACACAGCACCCCAAAACACACACAGCACCCAGACACAGCACCCAATCACACACAGCACCCAGACACACACAGCACCCAAACACACACAGCACCCCCAAACACAAACAGCACCCCCAAACACACACAGCACCCAGACACACACAGCACCCAAACACACACAGCACCCAGACACACACAGCACCCCCAAACACACACAGCACCCAGACACACACAGCACCCCTCTTACATACACACACTGCGCCCCTCACACATACAATACGTCCAAATATATATATATATACACACACAGACACTACAGCACCCCTCACACTGCACCACTACTCACATTACGCTCCAGATACACGCTAGAACCCTTACCCTATATGGACTCTTAATCCTCTATACACACACACACACACACACACACTTTACACAGTAGATCTCCTACACACACACACTACATTCCTTGTCAGCAAACACATACAACATTGTCCAAACACACACTCTTCAGCCCCTAGCCACACATATTACACCACAAACACAAATTAAATTGACCTACTTACACAATACCACACCACACTCTACACACGCAATCCCACAAGCAGGCTTCAAACATATGCACCATACATTTTCCTGGCCCTTTTGTCTTCTGGTATCCCACTTGTGGAGACACCAGAGACAATTGAAAAGCAAACACAGCGCAAGCATGTTATTAAATTTGCTTGCGCTGCGCAGAACAAATTCAGGGCCTTTTTCTAATGCCAGAGCTCTTCAGCGGGGCTCTGCGCATTGAACCAACATGCTCACTTTGAGAGGGGGTGTGCTTGTCATTAGTGATGACAAAACACACACTCTCTGGCCCCGCCCCCTTCTTAGGGGGCCGTTCTGATTGAAAAATGCCCGGGCCTAATTTTTTTCACAGTCCGGCCCTGCTGGTGACTATAGTGTCCCTTTAACTAAGAGCATTTTTCCATTGTTTATTTAACCATTTTATCACAAATCTATTTCAAACTAAAACATTTTTTTTTTTAATGTCATTTATTTTGGGGAAATTCAGACTGTGTTTCCTACTACTGTAAATGCCCTATATTTGTATTCTGCTACTGTTCTCGAGTACAATGATAAGCCACATGTATACCTTCTTCGCTAATCTTGTCAATAATCCTACCCATATTTCAACCTATACTCTTGCCCAAAATCCACCCCCTTATTTTACCCATAATCCTACCTAGTCCAAGTCCTACCTCTGAGGATCTTCCTCTGTCATAGGTTTGAGATATAAGAGAAAATAGATTAAAATGAAAGAATGGCATAATAAGTGTTAAAGGACCACTATAGTGCCAGGAAAACATACTCGTTTTCCTGGCACCATAGTGCCCTGAGAGTGCCCCCACCCTCAGGGTCCCACTCCGCCCGGCTCTGGGGAGAGGAAAGGGGTAAAAACTTACCTTTTTCCAGCGCTGGGCGGGGAGCTCTCCTCCTCCGATCCTTCTCCGTTCCTCCCATTCGGCTGAATGCGCACACGCGGCAAGAGCTGTGCGCGCATTCAGCCGGTCGCATAGGAAAGCATTTGCAATGCTTTCCTATGGACGCTTGCGTGCTCTCACTGTGATTTTCACCGTGAGACAGCCACTAGAGGAACTGGAGGAAGGATTAACCCATTTGTAAACATAGCAGTTTCTCTGAAACTGCTATGTTTATAAAAAAATGGGTTAACCCTAGCTGGACCTGGCACCCAGACAACTTCATTAAGCTGAAGTGGTCTGGGTGCCTAGAGTGGTCCTTTAATACTTCTTTAGATGGTTGCTAATATTAACAGGGTAATTCACTATAGTAAAAATCAAAGGAGAATTCAGAGTGCATTTCAAATGTTAGGCCAGAGTAACTGAATGTAAAGCAGGGCAGACTTATAGAATTGTTCCAGTTTTTTTTTTCCTGATATTTTGACCATTAAGTTCACTTTGATTCTCACTTTAGTGATTAACCCTATAAGGTTATTTTCAAAGGAAGGTAGGCATAATGCAATGAACGCAATTTATTCTTTAGAGTTTTACAGCTTGTCAAAGGTTTTTTTGTTTGTTTGTTTTTATTTAGGACTCGGGGTCTGTCATCTTGCTCTTACCGAAATATTCCTCTTTTTTACGGTCTTCAGCCTTCCTTGGTCAGAAGCACCAGTTACAAGGCTAATGCCCAGTTTGAAGATCTGAGTCCAGAGGACATTTGTAGATGCCTGGCAATTGGACAGGCTGTCAGGAGTTATGAACACATACTAGCTCTTGATTACCTGTATGATTTTGGTCAAATTTGCTATGCTTCTGACCTAAGACGACTTAGGATGGCTGCCCCCAAAGAGCAAATGTAAACCAGGAGATGCACTGAAAATGCACATTTACTGTATGCACTGAATGTTTGCATTACAAAATAATCTATGCAGAGGCTGTAAAACCTGTAGTCATTTATTTTAAATAATACAAATATTATGATTGTTTTTGTTTAAATGTCAGCACATTTTACTTACCGTAAAAGGTTTATTACATGAATGGAATTTAATTATATATATTTTTAAATCATGTATATTGATTTTTTAGCGAGACATTTTCACTTTTTATCAAGCTGAGCAGTCCTGTTGGGTCAGACTACACGGTTTTCTGCGCACCATGGATGTAACAGAAAAATACAATGTTACACTTATGTGCAGTTAAACAAGTCTTTATTTGGCAGTCACACAGTAACTTGTGTAGGTGTGATTTATAGGCCCCCATGACAAATAGAAGAGTTAGATAATCTACTAGTTGAGGAAATAGTTAAAATGACAATGAAGGGGGAAGTTATAATCATTGGGTGACTTTAATCTTCCAGATGTGAACTGGAAAACCAAAATAGTTGCTTGTGCCAGGAGCACACATATTCTAAACTCCCTACTGGGATTGTCTCTAAAACAAGTCATTGAGGAGCCAACTCTTAAAGAGGCCATACTAGATTTAGTGTTGACAAACAGAGATTTGGTATCAGATATTACTGTAGGTGAAAGTTTAGGATCCAGTGATCATCAGTTAGTGTGGTTTAATATAAGAATAGTGACGGAGTCACACCACACAAAAACAAAAAAATTAGACTTTAGAAAAACTGATATTTCTAAAATTAGAATATGTGTAAAGGAGTCATTATCAGACTGGAGCAATTTAAATTGAGTCCAAGAGAAATGGGATTATTTAAAAGTTGCACTAGTGAAGGCAACATAAAATTGCGTTAGGCTTGTCAGTAAAAGCAAAAAATTTAAAGGGACACTATAGTCACCTGAACAACTTTAGCTTAATGAAGCAGTTTTGGTGTATTGAACATGCCCCTGCAGCCTCACTGCTCGATCCTCTGCCATTTAGGGGTTAATTCCCTTTGTTTATGAACCCTAGTCACACCTCCCTGCATGTGACTTGCACAGCCTTCCATAAACACTTCCTGTAAAGAGAGCCCTATTTAGGCTTTCTTTATTGCAAGTTCTGTTTAATTAAGATTTTCTTATCCCCTGCTATGTTAATAGCTTGCTAGACCCTGCAAGAGCCTCCTGTATGTGATTAAAGTTCAATTTAGAGATTGAGATACAATTATTTAAGGTAAATTACATCTGTTTGAAAGTGAAACCAGTTTTTTTTTCATGCAGGCTCTGTCAATCATAGCCAGGGGAGGTGTGGCTATGGCTGCATAAACAGAAACAAAGTTATTTAACTCCTAAATGACAATGGATTGAGCAGTGAAATTGCAGGAGAATAATCTATACACTAAAACTGCTTTATTTAGCTAAAGTAATTAAGTGACTATAGTGTTCCTTTAAGAAACCACTGTGGTACTCTGCAGAAGTGGCCAAAATAGTATTTGCATGAGACAGAAGAAAAACAAATTGCAAGGTGTACAAAAAGACAGGTGTGTGGTTAATAATCCAAGCAAGTGAGCAGGTAACTCCTTGTTAACCCTTAGAGTACCAGAAATAAACACACCTCTGACACACTCATTCCTTTAGTAATAACAAGTGTCCAGATTTCAGTAACAAAATTAACGTCTTTAAAGTGAAAACAAACTAAAGTGTGTATGGAGATTCAAGTGAGAGATGTATCTCTGTATTCTGGTAAACTAGGCAGATCTCCTATGCCAATTATTCTATGTCTTCCCAGCCTAGAAGCCATCTTGCAAAGGTTGGGAGCTGAGTATCTTTGTGTCAGTTCTGTGTATAACGATTGCAACTACCACTCTCATCATGCACTACCTTCCTGGGGAAACTATGTGAGTTACACCGTTTTGAAAACAAGCCCATGTGTAGCTGCACAGCCTCCTTTCTGGGAGGGGAGACCATTGTGGGCTGTTCTTTTTTTGTTGTTGTGTAACTAGCAAGTTTTATCTTAAAAAAACAATCTGTGAACCCTGCCACCATGGAGCTCAGCACAGTCCTGTCTCTTGTTCTGGTCCTGTTGGGCTACCTATGGTGGAAGGTGACTCGCCCAAAGTCCTTCCCTCCAGGTCCCCTGGCTCTGCCCATTGTAGGGAACTTACTGCAGGTGGACTTCAACAATTTCCTCAAGGATTTAAAGGAGGCGAGTGCTAAATAGGGTGGCTGTTTGTTGGATAAACAATATGTACTATGTATGAACTGTTATTACTTTCCTGTGTGCTGGTTGGATACAGTATCATAATGTCTTTCATTGCTTTACTGTGTGCTGGTTGGATACAGTATCATAATGTCTTAGTAATGCTTATAGAGTTATTTGTTTTGTCAGGATGTGATCAGGAAATGTCTGTGGGGTGGCTCTGTGCTCAAAATAAGTGGGATGTTTACATATGCTTAGGGAAACTGGTTGATTTTATTTATTTTTTTAAACCCCTTTAGGCAATTGTCAAAATTTTCAACAAAAGCAAATGGTATGTCTAACCATAATTAAGGGATTCCCATTAAGTGCTCCCATAAATAATAATAATAATAATAATAATAATATTCTTACTATATTATATACCTAACACAATATTAAAATGACACTATAGGCATCTAAATGTAGAAAGTAATCCAGGCACTCCAAAAGTCTTCCAAAAATAGGCAATTTTATTGGACCAAAGCACCAAAGTATCGACCCCCAGGTCTTTGTACAACGTTTCGACCCCCAGGTCTTTGTCAAGCATTATAGGCATCTAGACCACTTCATCTCATTGAAATGGTCTGAGTGCACTGTTTCTGTCCCCCTTAGTCATGCAATATAAAACATTGCATTTTTAGAGAAACTGCAATGTTTACATTGCACTACTACAAGATAAGCACTAGAGGCGCTTCCTGGAGTTTCATAGAGTTTGACTCTGTGAAACAATGCTGGATCTTCTCATCCAATGTCAGAGAAAGCCACATAGGAAAGCGTTGCAGCTGACGTAAGAGGAGGTGCAGTGCGATCCAGTGCTGAGGGACCTCAGGGTTGGGGTCAAGTAAGTTAATAAATGGTTATTTATCCCTTTACATCATTGCGGGGGCTGAGGAATATATTACCCGATTTAATAAATGTCTCATGTCTAGAATCTAGATTAATATTGTATACAATTCAAGGCAGGCTGTTTTAACCCTTCTGTAGTGTTTGAGTTTAGCTGTCATTTTCTTCTTTCTCATTTACTGTACCCACACATATATTGTTTTCATCAGCATAAGCTTTCTTTACATATCATTATTTTGATCATGTAAAGCATTTTAAAAAAATAAAATCTTGTGAAAAATTAGGGGGGGTGGGGGAGGGAGAACCACTATTTCTGACCTTTATTTGAAAAAGCATATATGCATCTACAAAAGCTATTGAAAAACCTACTAAAATTATTCTAATATTGTCCTGAGTCAGGGGCGGCTCTAGACTTTATACGGACTTAGGTGAAACTTGAACATGAGGCCCTACTAACACCCAAAATAAGGAGCGCTCGCAGTATGGATACAGAGAGTTAGTCTCTGCATTCATTGTTGAGAAGCTTGCAGTGTCGCAGCTTCCTGTGCCCCTGCATTGTGAGCTCTCTGTCTGTAGCTGTAGCATAATTTGCAAACAAAATTCATTTGTAATACATAAATTTAGTTTGCAATTATGCCAATTGTTTATACACAATTATGGCGTATGGTTGTATAGCCTGGCAGTCGTGTATAAATAAGAACTGGTGTGAGGGGGTTATTGTTTGAGCAAAAAATATTTTGAAAAACACCATTTACCAAATAATAAAGTTACAGATAAAAAAAATATATAAAAAAACAGTGCCATAGATATTTTCCTCATGGTTTACATAGTTTGAGGAGGGTGTGTGACAGTGGGAGTGGAGGAAAGTGTGTCAGGGTTGGGGTGAAGGGTAAATGTGGCATGGTTAGAGGAGGGAGTGTGACAGGATTAAGGGGGTTACTTTGACAGGGTGAGTGTAACAGGATTACAGGATTAGAGACATTCATGTGATAAGATAAGTGTGGCAGGGTTGGAGGGAAGAGTGTGACTGAGTGAGAGAAGGTGAGTGTGACAGAATTAGGGGGGTTAATTTGACAGGCTGATTGTGGCAGAGCAAGGGCAGCTGAGGGGGTGAGATTACCAGGATTAGGAATTATTAATGTGAGTGTGGATGCGTGAGGGGGCTGGCAGTGTGGGGGGACACAATGTGTGACAGCGTGAGGGGAGTATGGTGACACTACATTGTGGGGAGTGACACTGTGTGGGGGCATGACAGTGTGTGTGTGAGGGGGTGACAGCGTGTATGAGGGATGGAGACTGTGTGTGTGTAGGGTGATACTGTATGTGAGGGGGTGTCACTGTGTGAGTGGGGGTTATAGTGAGAGGGGGTGATGGTGATGGTGTGAGGGAGGGTGATAGTGTGAGGGGGTGATGGTGATCGCCTAATTAGAGAGCTGCGTGAGTTTAGAAATACCCAATGTTTACATGTTTTTTCTGTAATTTTTGGCATGCTATAGGGCAATACGTACAAGTAGCATATTTCTATTTCAAAACCATTTCTTCCCCCACATCCCATGAAAATATCGACAGTGGCATTATAACACTAATATGTCATGAGTTCCTGAGTCACCCCCCACATGTGTATATTTTTCAAAAGAGGGCTGAGGGAAAACTAGCTGACAGAAAGTGGCTGTGGAAACACAAAGAGAGAAGCTGAGGAAGGGGTAAAAGAGACAGACATGAGGAGCTGGGAGGGAGACAAAGAAACAGAGGGGCTGGGGGGAGAAGAGACACAAGTGCTGCAAAGGGAAAAAAGAGACATGCACAAGGGCTAGGTTAAAAAGAGACATAATGGGGTTGGGGGGGAGTAAGAGACACAGAAAGCAGAGGTGTAAGAAACAGAAAAAGAAACACACTACATCCACTATATACACACACTGTGCATCCACTGTATATACACACGCAGTGCATTCACTGCGTACCGCATACAATACCCACAGCCACTGCATCCACTACACAAATACACACTACACAGACATTGCATTCACTACACACACTGCATAACATAATGGATGTGGGTGTGTTTTGATAGGTGTGGTTTTGTTGGGTGGGGCAGTATTTTATCCTTGGACAACATCTTGGGCTGGCCATGGTAGTAGTCCACATTTGAGGGGTTGCATTTCAGTTTTCCAACATGGAATTTTGACATGTAGTCAACCTGCGCCCATGTCCTCTTTGGGACATTTATGAAGACGGTCAATGTAATTAATCAGACTGTATATTTTTGAAATGGTGATACCCTAGGGTATTTTTACACTTCTTGTGCACTAATTTTACCACCAGCCTTTTTCAAAGTTTTATGAAGTATATATTTTTTGAAAAGTAGATAAACTAAAATAAAAAAGTTTCAGAAAAGATTTGTCCAAAATAATTAATCACAGAGGGGTTCCCTGCATTTCTCTATTACATGATCTACTAGTATTTGTAAGCAGTATGATACAGCTTGAAGCAGTCCCTAATACACAGGCCTGGTTTACATGGGGAGTAGTACAATGAACCCCTTTTCTAATGCCTTTTTCTTTTTTAAAAGAGTTGACTCTACAACGCTTCTGTGCTCCATATTGTTTGTGGTGTATGAGGTATCCTGAATGGGAGGTGTTAATTTGAAAGTATGTTAGATGCACTGCTCTCTTCACCACAGAACAATATTTCTGAAATTATCTGCATCCACATCCAGATACCTGTATTTCTGCTCAGGATTGGCCAGTTTGTAAATTACAAATACGTTGTGTGTTGCTCTATTTGCATCCTATAAATATTTAATTTGCATCCTATATATCGCAATGTGTGTTACCTTTTGAAAATGTATTTGGGAAAGGGGCTATGAGAGGCTGAAGTTTATAATTATATCAAAGTTTGGGTGTTCTTTGGCTAGGCACAGGGCCACCATCAGAAATTTTGGGGCCCCCAACCAAAGCACAAGGTCTGGGCCCCCGTCTCCTTCCCTCCCCTCGGGCCCACCCACACCCTACCTAGTCCGCTAACAATGATGCAGGACTGAATGTGGTGTATATAGTGGAAGTAAATTAGAATGTGTGTAATGGATGTAGTGTTTGTGTGTATTAGATACTGTTTGTACAGTGAATGCAGAGTGTGTGTTTGTGTAGCGGATGCAGTGTGTATAGTGAATGCAGAGTGTGTTTAAGTAGTGGATGTAGTGTGTGTTTGTGTAGTGGATGTAGTGTTTGTGTGTACTAGATGAAATGTGTTTAGTGGATGCAGTGTCTGTAGTGGTTGTAGTGTGTATTAGACACAGTGTCTGTGTATAGTGAATGCAGAGTGTTTCAATTTGTGGTGGATGTAGTGTGTGTACTGTGAATACAGGATGTTTGTGTAGTGGATGCTGTGTGTACAGTGAATGCAGAGTGTGTGCAGTACCAGTGAATGCAGAGTGTGTGTTGTGTTGTGTGTGTAAATGTGCAGTCTGGGGATGGGGGAAGGGGGGAGAGGAAGGGCCATTTTCACATTAATTTCAAATACATTTTATATTAAATTAACTAAATGTTTCTCCCCCCTCCCTGCTTCTTACCCGTGTCCAGGGAGGTGGGAGATTCCATTCCCTGGTGGTCCAGTGGCATGGGGGCCCCGGCTCCCTGTTACCGCAGAGGGGGCCCAGCACACTGCCTGTTCTCCTCTCTTCTAATAACTCTCGCAAAAGTTATTGGAAGAGAGGAGAACAGGCAGTGTGCTGGGCCCCCTCTGTGATAACAGGGAGCGGGGGGCCCGTGGCTGCACACATAGCGATATTCACTATCTATGTGTGCAGAGAGGGAAAGTGGGGCCTGGGACTGCCAGAGCAGTCCTTGTCCCCCAGGACGTCCGGGCCTGTGACAACCATCATGGTTGTCACCCCCTGATGGCGGCCCTGGCTAGGCACCTGTTGTTGTCATCTGTCACAAACTTCAGCATCATCTCTTATCTAGATCTGAGCATGACATGTTAGAAAAGTGGCTTTGCGTAAACAACACTTTTGTTCCAGTAGGAGCAGACACTAGTCCATAGCCATAGCTGAAGCCTAGAATTTTTTTTTAATTCAAATTTGTCTATTGGCAGCGAGCCATTATGGCTTGCCAAGTAAAACGTGAAATTCTTCCTATGTGTTGGGCAGCATACAGATTTAGCTCTGTATTATTAGCATTTTGTTTTTTAATCTATTATGTTTTTACCGAGTAATAGCTCCAAAAAGTGCAGTGGGCTGAAATTGGTAATATTAACATTTATTCCAGGGCATGAGGTAAAAGTGGGGACATCTGCTGTATAAATATTTGGCGGTGCCCACCCACAATGACAGGGTCAGGATTATCGTCTTGAGAGACAACAGAGTCCGTATCACTCCTGGAATACCTGTACGCAGCTACGTCAAACTCTGACACGGTGTCAGTGCCTTCCGAATCAGAGACAAGAATGGTATATACCTGTTCAGCTGTCTACAACTTTTGTATTTTTATAATGAGTCAAAACTATTTTTATATATGTTTTGTATATATTTTTATACCCCCACCTATGTGAAGCTAAAGCCTGCCTAACTGCCCTCTAACTGCCCGTTTGAGTGAAGATTTTGGGAGTATCAGCTCAGGTGTGACTGTGCTGAAGGAACAGCTGTGATGCTAGTATGGACAGGATCCATAATGGAGGAAAGACTAGGCAGGTTTCGGTAGTAGGGGATTCTATTATTAAAAGAGTAGACAGGGGAATCTACCGGTATATTTGCATCAAGCAGACAGTTTGCTGTCCCCAAGGTGCTCGGGTCTGGCATATTGTTAATAGATTATTGGGATGTGCTAGAGATGACCCAGCTGTCATGGTCCATATTGGTATTAATGACAAAGTTAGAGGTAGATGGAGGGCCATAGAGAATGAGTTCAGAGAATTAGGAAGAGAATGGGTGGAGATGGGGGTTAGTGGTACGAAGGCATTAAAAACATATTGTACAAGAAAGAAATGGTAAATTTAAATGTCTGCTTGCTAATGTGTAATAAAACAGGGAAGTTTGAGCTATTGACATACGAGCAGTACAACACAATTGGGATTACTGCAATTTGGTGGATTGGAACACATGGTTGGGCTATTCATTTTAATGGATATACATTATCTTGGAAGGATACAAGCAATAGAAAAGGTGCAGGGTGATATATTAAAGGGACACTATGGTCACCAGAACAGTTACAGCTTATTGTATTTGTTCTGGTAAGTATAATCATTTCCTTCAGACGTTTTGCAGTAAACCGTCTTTTCAGAGAAAATGCAATGTTTAGATTACAGCCTAGTGATAACTCCACTGGTCACTCCTCAGATAACTACTAGAGAAGCTTCCTGGGGCAGTGCAGCACAGTGTGCAGTACTGCCATTTGGTGTCTCCACCCCCAATGCATTGCTTGTGCTGGCTCTGCCACTGATCTGCTTCCGTGACAAGCTCAGCCAAATCGGATGCTTTCCTACTTTAAAGTATTGTGATTGGCTCAGACCACCACTTCTGATGAGTCAGATAAGCGGCTGAGCCAGCAGCAGCAGACTGGAGTAAAGGAAATATTTAGCTATATTTAGTGGGGAAGCGGGGCTAGACGGTGGTTTGAACACTAGAGGGTCAGAAATACATAAAAGAAAAACCTGATGAAGGCGTCCAGCTGAAACGCCTGTTTTATGAAGAAATACCTTGATGCAGCTTATTGTGCTTTTTATATGTAAGAATTTTATATTTGTTTTTGGAATAAATTTATAGATTTTTACCTCTAATTTCTGCCTATTATCTTCACCATATGAACACTGGGGAAGAACACAGCAGCTGAGATACCTCTTCTTTACATCCTACTCATTCCCATATACCTGAGCCAGTTTCTATACAGGTTCCTAAAAATGTGAGTAGGGTGCAACTATATTATGCATAAATTATATTTGTTTTGGGGCTAATATACAGACTACATTGCCCTACGTGAGTTTTTCTCTTTTAGAAATATCGTTGGACTCAATTCCTTATAAAAGTGTTACTTTTTATATATATTATTTACATATACACTGTGCACAGAAGCGTTGTCATATTTTGCTTTGGTTCTAAGTGCGCTATCCACTTTTTATCTGTTTTCTGGTCAGGAATGCATGTTTGTGTTCCTGACCCGTCAGTGTTCCTTTAAACTTGATTTTAAGCAGCGTGTTAACTCAATTGTCTAAAATGCAGTTGTATCATGTGGCATTAAGATGATCTTTCACATAAACTAATGAAACCTTTAAAAGAGTCCTAACAATAGGTGATTTTTACACTGTATGCGATTTAACACTTGGGCCCGATTCTATGTGTATGCATGGTCTACCACTTTGTGGCTGAGCTGTTGTTGCTCCTAGATGCTTCCACTTCCCAATAATAGGACATACGGCTGGGCAGAAATTTCACAAACTGATTTGTGGCAAATGTAGCATTCTATGACTTTTTTTATTTTCCGTATGTCGAAAAAAGGATCTCAATTTTAAAACGACTAATTTTCTGCGAGGAGTTGTGAGGGGCAATTGAATAATTGTTTAATGTGTTTTTTTTTCTTATATATATATATATATAACTTTAGTATTCTTCTACGCTTTTCAGGTCATGGTAAATGGCCATTTGTATTAAAATCTAATTTTATTTGGAAATATTAAAACAAGAATAACTGCCTGTACTGCGGTTACCATTTCTATATGCTAATATATTATGGCTACTATTTTATTTCATTTTTGAATAAGTAAATATTGTATTTTGTTGTCTTAAATAACAATAAAAAGAAACACAAAGAAACGACCCTTTATATGTTTAACTTTATGGTTAAAGCTGCTGCACTGCACAGGCAGCACTTGGCTGCAGACAAACTCCCTCCATGACCAGAGAGAGGGTCCACCAGTCACAATGCTCTCACAATGATCTATAGGGAGTGTCTTTTTTATCTTTTAAATCTCCTATTCAGCTGGAGTATATAGGATAAGTAGTTTAGCTGCAGTTCCAAATAGAGAAGCAGGCGCAGCAGTTTTTTCAAATTGCTGTAGATGTAAGCTACTCTCAGTAGGTTGCAGATTATTTTATAAATCATAACCTTTGTTATGGTGATTAGTCCAATCCTTTTAAAGAAGTGGGTTTATTATGTGACATGAGTGAAATGTTAATCTTCTTGGCTATTGGACTACTTTAAAAAAAACTCTATTAACAATACTTTGCTGATCTAAGGACGGCAACATGTCCCACTAAGTGAACATGTCAAATTAAAGCAAGGGTAGGCAACCTTTGGTACTCCAAATGTTGTGGACTGCATCTCCTTTAATTCACTTCTAGTCGTAAGGCCATCAGGTTGCCTATGTCTGACATACAGCAACTCATCTTACTGAATTGTCTGGAGTTTGTAATTTTTTTGACAGTTTTATAAAAGTGCCAGTTTCATTAGAAATCATCACTTATATAAATCTTCCTGGCAAAATCGCCCTAGTTGTCATGGTTTTTGCATGATGTTTTCAAGTACCCCTAATGAAAACTTGCAGAAAAAAAATCATGAATATTTTCTACAGGTACATTTACTAAATGGGGAGAAAAATAAAAATTAAGAATATTAGTATATTTATGATATTGGTAGTATTTGTGATGAAACCTTTTTTCTTCTTCTTCTTCAGTTATACAAAGTGTACAATGTCTTAATCCAATTTTTATTTTAGTTCTCAAAAGCCTACGGCCCTGTGTACAGCATATATCTAGGTACCACACCGGCAGTGGTCGTCAGAGGCTACAAAGCTATTAAAGAGGTGTTAATCACCAAAGGCACAGAGTTTGCGGACCGACCTCTGAATGGAATCCTGCAGGCCGTCTCTGGTAACAGAGGTAAATATTGGGGGAAAAGATAACAAATGTCCAGACTAAAGCAAACCTTGGATGCCTTTTAAAATGTTTTATCTATTTGGTAAAATAATTTCATTTAAACATATGAAATTATCAATGAGAATTTTTTTTTATCAAAGACCCCCATTATTTCATTTAAATTCCCCTATTCGATGCCCAAGACTGCCCAGTCGCTAGCAGGGCCGGTGCAAGGATTTTTGTCGCCCTAGGCTTAACCCCACAAGATAAAACATGGCCTTACTTTGAAGGGTTAATCAAGCCTCTAGTAGCGTTCACACTGACAGCCAGTAGAGACAACTTCACTACAATGCCATGTTAAACTATATGAAGCGTTGAAAGTGCACAGCGATTGCTACTTATGCGCATCAAGTCCCTAATGCACCTGTATGAGAAACATTGGATTGCGTAGTCGCATCAGTGACACTGAGCAAGGTAAGGAGGCAAACAGTGTGGAAGGAGTTGGTGCTTGATAAGTATAAGTAACCCCTTTTTAAAAATATTTTTTATGGTGGGAGGCTTGAATCTATGTATGGCCAGAGACACTATAGTATTCGGAATACAGGTTTATATTCCTAACACTATAGTGTTCCTTTTAAAAGTATTGATTTATTTTTTTATTATTAAAATGGTCCTATTTGCCAAAATACAATCACTGATACTATATATATATACATATATACACACACACAAATTCACTGACTCACGCGGAGTGGCACACACACTTACTCAAGCAGACATACACTGATTCATGTTGACTGGCACACACACACACACACACACACACTGACTGATGCAGACTAAAACACACTCACAGACCCAAGCTGACACACACACTGATCCAGGCACACACACTAACCCAAGCACACACTCACTGATCCAGACAGACCCAAGCAGACACCTCAATAGACCTAAGCAGAAACACCAATAGACCCAAGCACACACACACACTGGTCCAAGCAAACACACACTAACCCAAGCACACACACACAGACTGAAGCACACACAAACAAACTGATTAAAACAGGCTGACACACACACATGCACAAACACCATGAAGTCCCCCACTTGCCTATGTTACAAATAGTCTCTCTCCGTGGGTCCCAATCCAGGCCTGGCTGTCTTGACTCTCTTTTATGTCCGCCCTCGCTATCCTCCCGCCCCCTTGACCACAAATACAGGGCACGGGGCGGGAGCGATCGTGCAATGCACCCGTGCACTGCCAGCATATGAGAGATGTGTAGGGGGAGGCTCTCTGATATTTGGGGGCTGAGGTTTAAGGCACCGGGTGCTTGTCTGCAGCCATGTAAGTGCTCCCTAGTGCCTGGTGCCATGATTTGCTGCACGCAATGCAGAATTTGTCCCACATAGAGGGGAACTTCTTATGGGCGCTCCCCCTTAAGCAGCCTATAGGACGCGCCGGCCATGGTTGCTAGTTTACATTTTTCATTATTTAACTTTAAATTCACCACCCAATGCCTAAGGCTAACCATTTACTCATTTATTACTCATTTATATTTACAATGAAGAGCTGCTGGCTGCTCACTGTTTAGTAAATATGCCCCCATCCACTCCATAACCGATGAGTGCATAAATGAGGTTAGAAACACAGGCAAACACAAGTTATAAATCCTTCAATTCTAAGTATCATCCCTTCTCCAGGTTTGGTTATTGCTCCTTATGGCCAGGCGTGGAAGGAGCACAGACGCTTCACTCTGTCTACACTGCGGAGTTTTGGTCTGGGCAAAAAGTCCATGGAGGAAAGGATTGCCGAGGAGAGCTCCTATTTAATAAAGGAATTTGAAAAGAACAAAGGTAACAACCTTCTATTACATAAACAATTAAAGTTAAACTGTAAAAACAAATATCTTTCATGACCTGTTCTCTTCTCAATTGCCTTCAAAAGGTATTTAGTATCTTTCATAAAATAGGAGAAACAGGTATTCAAGTGGAGTGAGGTTTTTTTTCCCCAAAAAATATTGCAAAAACTTAAATCTATGCTAGAGATTTCCTAAAAATACTGCAAAACTTATATACATGCTATACATTCTATGTTGCATAATGCATTATGCAGGTACAGAGGGGGAGTCCTGTGAAGGAAGCTATGGGAATGATAAAAGAGAAGGGTCAGGGCACATTCAAGGGCGGGCTACAGTTTTCCTGTGTTTTGGATGGACCACTCCAGGATTTTCTGGAAATGAATAGATTTACAATAATGTCTTGGAGGACCAAAACCCCAAATTCTTGAGCTTTAGTGATGATGTCATAGCAAGGATGCCACATTTACCAAAACTGCTTTAGGAATAGCGACTGGTAAGGTCTGCAACAAGTAAAGAACGTCCATTTTTAAATTGCTCCCGCTCTACCCGTTCAAGTATTATGAGTGATGGACCAGTTGTGAAGGTTTTTTTGCACTTGTAGGAGAAGCAGGAAATTCAGGTTGTAGGTCTGCGATAAATTCAAAGGGATCTGGGTGACACAGTCACATACATTAGAAGAAGGCAACCATTGAAGAGGGCAATCTTAGTAAGAGTAAGGGACTTTGATATCAAATATTTCAGAATTTGTGCAATGCTTATTTATTTGGCGTCTGAATTGCTCAAATTCAGTTATGAAGGTGCGTAGTGATCTGATTGGGAGACAGTAAATATCATGTAATCTATCTACATTACTATTTGAAATGACCAAGTTCCGTCTAAGATGCCACAGTCAGTATTGTATTGAGCCAGTCTAGCTAGTGAGTAGGAGATCGAGATAATGGTGAGGGAGAAAGAAATAATCAATAAGGGAATTGGATTTATGCTCAAGGAAATAAAAAGTAAAATCCTTTCCTGTGGGGGATTTTGAAGTCCTCTAGCAGTCTGAGTTGACGTTCTTGAAGTGTGTACACCCCACAGGAGAGGAGGAGGGCTAATGGTATGCAGTGGAAACCTGGTTCAGGTGGGATATTTAAATCCCCTCTAAATATTAACACTCCTTCTTAAATGCTTTTCATTTGTGAAAAGCTGAGACCAGAAACTCCTTTTGATTCCTATTAGGAATGTAAAAGTTAGTAAATCTGTAATTATTATTTTACTTTTTACAGCCATCACAGAATGTTGCCAAGCCCTGCCACCAGCCTTTTCTTCTTTAAGTAGACATGGCGAAAAGTTTCATTTTAATTGGTCCTGCTGGTGCACTGTTAATAGCATTTGAAGAGCATATCTCTGTTTTTCTACATTTTTGACTGATTACTATAATTTATTTTCTTCAGATACCTTGCTGAATCCACATGTTGCCATCGATAATGCTGTATCCAACATAATTTGTTCCATTGTGTTCGGGAGGCGCTATGATTATGATGACTCCACTTTCCAAAATGTTCTTAACCTGGTCCATGAAAATATGAAGTTAACTACAAGTGTTTGGACACAGGTATAAAAGGACGTTGCAACTGGATATCGTAAATAAGACCACCCCTAAATAAATTAGCTCTGCTCAGAGAGGCCATGCAATAAAGTAAAAATTCTGCTTCAGCTTATTGGGAAGGTAAATTTTAATTTAAATTAAAAAGAAAACTATAGTTTTAATCTCAAAACTGCAACTGATACCTCATACAAACTTGTGGTGGGGGGATAGCTTACAGGAACACCCTAAGTGCCATAACCAATAAGGAGTGTTGACAGGGTTGCTCAATTAACTCTCAATTGTAGCAAACTTAAAATATGATTTGCGAAACGTAGACTAAAATAGCCAGGCGGAGACTATAGTTATGTTGGAGGCATTCATGTTTTCCAGGAGATCAGTTGTGTATTCTATATATTACTATGTGAACCCTTATATCTTTTCACCTTTCAGCTGTATAATGCATTTGGATTCATCCATTATCTCCCTCTGCCGCACCAGAAGATTTTCAGAAACGTAAAAGTTATTTTTACATTTCTGGAGAATGTTTTAGAGGAACACAAGACAACTAGGATGCGTGGGGATCCCCGAGACTATATAGACTGTTATCTGGATGAGCTCGATAAGGTACTGTGTTAGGTTTAGTCACTAAAGACCAAATGTAGTGTGAATATGGACCGGAGTTTCAAAACTTTGATTGAATTTGCAAATCAGTGATTCTCACATGCAAATCCTATCCCATCAAACATTAACCCCTTAAGGACACATGACATATGTGACCTGTCATGATTCCCTTTTATTCCAGAAGTTTGGTCCTTAGGATCACTATAGGGTCAGGAACAGAAACATGTATTCCTGACCCTATAGTGCCATCTAGCCCCCCTGGGCCACTCATGCCTCCATAAATATAGCAAAATCTTACTGTATTCAAGCCTGAAGCTGTAACTCTGCATGCTGTTAGACTCAGAAAAACAAGCAGTCTGCTGACATTGTCAGAAGTAGTGGCCTGATCCAATCACAATGCTTCCCCATAGGATTGGCTGAGACTGACAAAGAGGCAGATCAGGGGCAGAGCCAGCACGATTCAAACACAGCCCTGGCCAATCAGCATCTCCTCATAGAGATGAATTGAATCAATGAATCTCTATGAGGAAAGTTCTGAATGTGTGGATGCATTTTAGGCATCCATGACCCAGGAAGGATCTCTAACAGCCATTTGAGGAGTGGCCAGTGAAGTTATCACTAGGCTGTAAACACTGCGTTTTCTCTGAAAAGACATTGTTTACAGCAAAAAGCCTGAAGGTAATGATTCTACTCACCAGAACAAATTCAATAAGCTGTAGTTGTTCTGGTGACTATAGTGTCCCTTTAAAACCACTGAAAGGTGAAGTGAATAACATTGATTATAGTGTTACAATGGCTCCTGTCAAGGGGTGGGATATATTAGGCAACAAATGAACAGTCAAACACAACAAAGATACATGATAAAGTGGTACAGTGCAAACTTGTAAAGAGAATGTTATTTATTTATTTGAAAAACACTTTAAAGTGCAGCTTGTCAATACAAATAATTTGTCACTATAACAACATTAGTAATGCAGCAACCATTCAAAGATCCTAAGCAAATAAAATCCCAATCAACATAAATATAGAAAATGGTGGGCAAAAATGTGAATATTCTAAATAAATAAGTCTTGTGGGTTTAACCCGTATGTAGTGATTAGTACCTACCAAAAGTGGCGCAAGGAAGGACAACCAGTGTCAGAATCATGGGCGCCCAAAGCTCATTGATGTACTTTGGGTCTATAAAGCTAGCCCATATGGTTCAATCACACAGAAGATATACTGCTCAAATTGCTGAAATACTTAATGTTGGCCATGATAGAAAGGTGTCAGAACACACAGTGCTTCACAGTTTGCTATGTATGGAGCCGCATATCCGCATACCGGTCAGAGTGCCCATGACGACTCTCTGTCCACCACAGAAAGCACCTTCAATGGAGATATAAGCATCAGGAGCAATGGTAGAAGGCTGCTTGATCTAATAAATCACATTTTCTTTTGGATCAAGTGGCCGTGTGTGTGTGCATCATTTACCTGGGGAATAGGCAGCAGTATGCACTATGGGAAGAAGGCAGGCGGTGGGGAAAGTTATGCTCTGGGAAACCTTGGGTCCTGGCATTCATGTGGATGTTACTTTAACATGTGCCACATACCTAGAGATTGTTGCAGACCATGTAGACCCCTTCATGGCAATGGTGTTCCTGGATGCCAGTGGCCTCTTTCAGCAGGATAATGCACCCTGCCACACTGCAAAAATTGTTGAGGAATGTTTTAAGAAACCTGACAAAGAGTTCAAGGTGTTGCATTGGCTTCCAAATTCCCCAGATTTCAATCCGATTGAACACTACAAGTCATAGGGCTATAAGTACAAGTAGTACATTGCTATTTTAAAATATATAGCTTAACCCCTTAAGGACACATGAAATGTGTGACATGTCATGATTCCCTTTTATTCCAGAAGTTAAGGACGCAAGACAGAAATTTTCTGTCATGCCGGTCCTACCCTTAAGAACGCGTGACGGAACATTTCCTTCATGCAGTATTTTCCCAGTAGAGTCTATTACCTTGCTGGTAACTATGAGCCCCAAGTATCATTTGATTCCTGGGGCTCCCCTCTCTCACCTGGGGCCAGAATTAGTGGCTCCAGACTGATCGATGCTCTGTTTGCAGAGCTCAAAGTGAGCGCTGCAAACAAGCATTCAAATGGGAATTTAAATCCCCACTATTACAATTTGGTGTGATCAGGGTTAAATCCCTGCTCACACAAGGGAGTTCCAGGTATCAATGAAAACCTGGGTCTCCCCTCTATCAGCTGGGGACATTTTTAGTGACCCTAGCCTTTTTGATGAGTACAGCTAAAATAATGTTATGACCGTGGGACACACAAGATTTAAAAAAATAAGCATCAAAAATACTATGTATATGTAAAAATGTTAAAATAAAAATGAATACCACAAACTTTGAAACAAAATGGTAACAAAATGTCACTTCAATAAAGCTTATAATATTTTATGTGAGAGTCCCCATGTTGTCCACTTTTTTAAATGGTATGTATTGGTGGCGTAATTTAAATATATGAGCGACTAAAATGCCCCAAAATGAAACAAAGACCCATTGTCAATTTGCCATTTAAAAAACAACTGTACTGGGCCTGGTATGATTTTAGCTCTCTATTTTTTCACAAAAACCTGGCTAAGGTATACAAAGGGGGTCATTTTGTACTCAGGAAATATAGCTGAGAATATCAAGTTCCCAAAATTAACCACTAAAATACAACATGTGTGTATAAAAATGCAAAAATAAAACAATATGATAACATTTGAAAGAAATTGGTGCTTACATAACTGTATAATAAAGCTCAAAATATACCATATGACATAGCCCGTGGTGTCTACTTTCCCAAATGATATGCATTTATGGGGTAATTTTAATTGTCAAATTGCTACAATGCCTTAAAATGTGATATAGACACATCAAATTCATTTATCAAAATTCTAATTGTAAAAACTGTAATGGTCAGGACTCTTTTACGGCACTGTAGCTTCACAGGTTAGTGACAAAGACATACATTGTGGGTATTTTTTTACTCAGAAGAGTTTGCTGAGCATAATTATGGGGTTTTGATCACAGTGGCATATGCCAGACTTGAAATGTGACCCAAAAAAATATAACGTGTATGTAAAAAATGCAAAAAAAATATTTTTTACCACAAAGTTTGACATAAACTGGTGAAAAAATGGCATCACATTAAGGCTCAATATACACCATATGAGATACACTGTGTAGTGTCTACTTTCACCAATGGTAGGTCCTTGAGGGATAAATTCCCCCAAAATGAGACATGCCCCCATCAAATTCATCTATCAAAATTATCACTGTGAAAACTGAAATGGTCAGGTCTCTTTTATGGCACAGTAACTTCACAGGATAGTGGCAAAGGCATAGATTGGGGGTATTGTTTTACTAGTTGATATGGCTGAAAACAATATGGGGTTTTCTACAGCAGTAGTATAGATCAGCTTAAAGGACCACTCTAGGCACCCAGACCGCTTCAGCTTAATGAAGTGGTCTGGGTGCCAGGTCCCTCTAGGATTGACCCTTTTTTTTATAAACATAGCAGTTTCAGAGAAACTGCTATGTTTATAAATAGGTTAATCCAGCCTCTAAAGCCTCTAGTGGCTGTCTCATTGACAGCCGCTAGAGGTGTTTTTGTGTGCTTCTCACTGTGAAAATCACAGTGAGAAGACACCAGCATCCATAGGAAAGAATTATGAATGCTTTCCTATGAGACTGGCTGAATGCGCGCGCAGCTCCTGCCACGCATGCGCATTCAGCCGAAGAGGAGGATCGGAGGCGGAGAGTAGGAGGAGAGCTCCCCGCCCGGCACTGGAGAAAAGGTAAGTTTTAACCCCTTCCTCACCATCCAGCCCGGCGGGAGGGGGACCCTGAGGGTGGTGTATGTTTTCCTGGCACTATAGTGGTCCTTTAATGAAATACACATTAAAAATCCTTGTTTTATGTGTGTATGTTAGAAATCTGAAAAAACACAATTTTACTCCACTATTTAGCAGAGATTGGTGCCCGAATGGCTACGTAAAAAGTGTCAGAATACATAGTTACATAGCTGAAAAGAGACTTGCATCCATCAAGTTCAGCCTACCTCACATTTGTTTTTTGCTGTTGATCCAAAAGAAGGCAAAAAACCCAGTTTGAAGCACAATTTTGCAACAAGCTAGGAAAAAAAATTCCTTCTTGACCCCAGAATGGCAGTCAGATTTATCCTTGGATCAAGCAGTTATTACCCTACATTGAAGATTATATCCTTGAATATTCTGTTCTTGCAAGTATGCATCTAGTAGCCGTTTGAACATCTGTATGGACTCTGATAAAACCACTTCCTCAGGCAGAGAATTCCACATCCTGATTGTTCTTACAGTAAAAAACCTTTCCTTTGCCTTAGGCGAAATCTTCTTTCTTCCAGTCTAAACGCATGGCCTCGTGTCCTATGTAAAGTCCGGTTTGTGAATAGATTTCCACACAATGGTTTGTATTGGCCCCAAATATATTTGTATAATGTTATCATATCCCCTCTCAGGCAACGGTTTTCTAAACTAAATAGGTTTAAATTTGTTAACCTTTCTTCATAGCCGATATGTTCCATTCTTGTTATTAGTTTTGTAGCCCGCCTCTGCACTTTTTCTAGTGCCATAATATCCTTAAATACCCTTTGGTAAATAGCCTGTGATGTGTGCTTTATATAAATATATATTTTTGTGCGGCAATTTTGCTTTCTGTGATGGCGCTTACAAGACAAACATACCAAATTCTAAAATAGCTCCACATTAAAATTTTATTTTACTCCTTGTATTTTGTGACCTGTAACTTTCAAAGTAAGCTGTAATCCTTGACATTTTATGTAATCTGAAAATCAGAACAACTAATTGAATATTTTTTTAATTACTTTCCTTATGCTGCATTTATTATACACACGTTATTATTGCATAAACTGTGGGGAAAAAAACACATTTTTTTTTCTTTTCCATTTTTTTTGATTTTTTTTTTATAATAAAAAAGGATTTATATATGTATATGTCGCATCAGATTAAAGCCCTTTTTGTCCTTTAAAAAAACGATATATAACATGTGTTGGTGCAATAAATAAGAAAAATGCAAACGGAGGTTGAACGCAAACAGCAAAAAATGTCCTTAAGGGTAAGTCCAGTTTGTGAAACTGTATCCTTAAGGGGTTAAACATGTATCAATAGTGATATGGTAACACTGTTATCTGTCATAAATCTCTGGATCACACCTCACATGTACATATTTCTTTTTTAAGTACACAACCCAGGGTATTCAAGATGGGGTATGTCCAATCTTTTTTAATAGCCACTTAGTCACAAACACTGACCAAATTTAGCATTTATATTTGTTTGTGCTTTAAAAATGCAAAAATCAATTATGAATGCTAACTTTGGTCAGTGTTTTTGACTAATTGGCTACTAGAAAAGACTGAACATACCCCATCTGCAATACCTTGGGTTGTCTTCTACTGCAAATAGTATGCCATCATGGGGTAATTCTCATTCCTATATGCTCTCAAAGGCAACATAACCAATCTGGAAAATTTCAATGTGAAAAAATGGAAACCGACCTTGTAACTTTCAAAAACACTACAAAACCTGTATATGAGGGGTACTGTTATACTCGGGAGACTTCGCTGAACACAAATATTAGTGTTTTAAAACAGTAAAATGTATCAGTGAAAGTGCTGTTTGTGAGTGAAAAATGCAAAAAAAAAGTCACTTTCACTGACAATATCATCGCTGTGATATGTTTTACTGTTTTGAAACACTAATATTTGTGTTCAGCTGAGTCTCCCGAGTAAACAGTACCCTCCATGTACAGGTTTTAGGATGTCATGGAAAGTTACAGGGTAAAATACAGTGCTAGCAAATTAAATTCTCTGAACTTTCGGAGGCAGGTCCCTCAAATTGCAATCAATAAAATTACTTAATAATGTAAAAATATTACAAAAATATGCACGTAGAATTTAAATATATTTACATAATTATATATTTGAAGTCTACGTGTATATTTATGAAATGATTTATGTAATTATGGAGAAAGATATATATATATATATATATGTATATATATATATATATATACACACACACCGATTAGAGAGCACTCTGGAGTATTGGTAAAGTAAATTCAAACAGCTGCTTTATTAAGCAAACGCAGTGATAAACACAATAGTTAACATTTCAGTCTATGCAGACTTTTTTCTGCATGGCTCATTAACTTCAAAGGAACTAATTAACTCAAGTGCTTTCCCTGGGTGGCCACCATTCGTATAACTGATCATACGTGCCTTAGTAAATGGTGGCCATTTTGTCTCCCGAATGCAGGCAGCGGTGCTTGATCATCCAACGCATGGAACTATTTTCAGATACTCTATCTCACGGTTCCCGGGAAAACAGTACCGCTGCCTGCTCCTCTCACAGACAAGCCAGGAGAACGATATTTGGGAAAAATACACTACCGACTGGGGAGAGCATTCGCTCCTTAAGAGCCAGGGGTGCTTCGAACAGGAACTCCCGAAAGTTGAATGGCCGATACCTCTTTCCTCCTGGAACTATTTTGGCAACAACCACTTGGGTGGCCAGTCAGCACTTTACCTCAATGGCGATTCCCCTACACTGGATGGATCTGCCTGCTATTTGGACAACTTGGCCGCTCAGATCCAGGCTATTCAGGGATATAAGGGGTTCCTGTACAATTTGACTATAATTTTGGGGTACTTTGTATATTTTATGTAGGGTGGGTAGAAAATTAGTGGGGAAATTGGGGGATTTACCGTTAGGATAGTTGGGGGTTATCAGTAAAAAAAAATAATTAAAAAGTGAAAAAAAGTTTTAAAATAGTAAAATAAGTTGTTAAAAGCTAAAGAAAAAGTTTTAAAAGTTAAAACGTTAAAAAGTAAAAATAAACGTTTAAAAAAGGGAAAAAATGCGTATTACCTCTACACTTGGTACAGCCTAGCGAAAAAATGATACCACGCTAAAGTTTAAAATATGCCTTTTGAAACACCCTGGGGTGTCTTCTTTAGGAAATGGTATGCGTTCGTGAAGTAATTGGAAAACACAACCTACTAAAAAAATTCCAAAGTGGGGCTTAAATAGTATGGTCTCCTATATGGCATTGTTGCTTCACAGAATAGGGGCAAAGGTATACAATGGGGGTATCGTTGTACTCAGCAGATGTAGCTAAACACAATATGGGGTTCTGTACAGCAGGGACATATTTGCCGCGAGGCAAACATGGCATTTGCCTTGGGCGGAAATTTCAAGGGGGCGGCAAAAAAACGCCGCCTCCAAATGCCCAGTCAAATACCTTGTTTGCCTCGTTTAATGTGAGCCCAAGTGGTGGCCACCTGGCCACCTTTGGGCTCCCCCGGGGCGGGTAGTCACACTGTGTAGTCAGTGAGGGAGTACTTTCCCCTGCGCGCTCTGCTCAGCTCCCTCACGCGCCGCAGAGTGATGCCGGAAGCCAAAATATGATGTCTCACTCTGTGGCGCGCGAGGGAGCTGAGCAGAGCGCTCAGGTGAAAGTGCTCCCTCGTTGACTGCACAGTGTGATTGCCCGCCGGGAAACAACCGTCCACATGCCTGCACGTCCAGCCGCCTCTCTGCTCCACTGGACCCCAGTGTCAGTCAGTGAGTGTGTGTGAGTGAATGTGAGTGTGTGTGTGTCTGTCAGTGAATGTGTGTGTCGGTCAGTCAGTGAGCGCGTGCGTCTGTCAGTGAGCTGGAGTCTGTCAGTGTGTGTCCGAGTAATAGTGTATGTCTGTCTATCAGTGTGTCAAATCAGTGAGTGTGTGTAGGTCATAGTTTGTCAGTGTATATGAGAGTGTGTGTCTGTCAGAGAGTGTATGCATTTATCAGTGAGAGTGTGCATCTGTAAGTGAGTGAGCATCTGTCAGTCAAAGTGCGGCCTTGACAGGAAGGCGGGGGGTGACTGAGGACCGTCCTGCCTAGGGCAGCACAAATCCTAAATACACCACTGCTGTACAGGGATAGCACACACTAGCTTTACGAAATACACATTACAAAAACCATGTTATATGTGTAAATGCCAAAATAGAGAAAAAACACAATTTTACTCCAATATTTACCAGAAATTGTAAAAAGTGTAAAAATAACCGTAGGTAAATAGCCTGTGATGTCTACTTTATATAAATATATACTTTTGTGTGTCAATTTTGTTTTCTGCAATGGGTATTCCAAGACAAACATACCAACTTATAAAATTGTTTCACATTGAAATTTTATTTTTGACCTTGTAGTTTGTGACCTGTAACTTTCAAAATAAACTAAAATCCTACACATATTATGTACTCTGTAAATCAAGAGACATACATGAATGGATTTCGAATTACTTTTCCTAAGCTGGACATATTATGCACATGTTATTATTGCCAAAACATGGGGAAAAAAGCATTTTATTTTGTTTTTTTTCCCATTATTTTGCATCTTTTTTTGTAAACAATAAAAATTTATAAATGTATATGTTACATCAAATTAAAGCCCTTTTTGTTGTCTAGAAGCGGTATGTAATATGTGTTGGTACAATAAATGAGAGAGATGCAAACTGCAGTTGAACACAAACCGCAAAAAATGCAAAAATTGCTTTTGTCCTAAAGGGACACTATAGTCACCTGTACAACTTTAGCTTAATGAAGCCGTTTTGGTGTATAGAACATGCCCCTGCAGCCTCACTGCTCAATCCTCTGCCATTTAGGAGTTAAATCCCTTTGTTTATGAACCCTAGTCACACCTCCCTGCATGTGACTTGCACAGCCTTCCATAAACACTTCCTGTAAAGAGAGCCCTATTTAGGCTTTCTTTATTGCAAGTTCTGTTTAATTAAGATTTTCTTATCCCCTGCTATGTTAATAGCTTGCTAGACCCTGCAAGAGCCTCCTGTATGTGATTAAAGTTCAATTTAGAGATTGAGATACAATTATTTAAGGTAAATTGCATCTGTTTGAAAGTGAAACCAGTTTTTTTTTTTCATGCAGGCTCTGTCAATCATAGCCAGGGGAGGTGTGGCTAGGGCTGCATAAACGGAAACAAAGTGATTTAACTCCTAAATGACAGTGAATTGAGCAGTGAAATTGCAGGGGAATGATCTATATACTAAAACTGCTTTATTTAGCTAAAGTAATTCAGGTGACTATAGTGTTCCTTTAAGGGTATGTCCAGCTTCTGAAGTTGTGTCCTTAAGGAGTTAATACGATACGGTAATTGTTTTGTTTCAAAACTCGCCTCTCTTCTTCATAATTATATTATGATTACAAGCACAACTTGTTCTTTTGTGTTAAATTGTATAAAATTCAAAACTCTTCAATAAAGAATTGTAAAACAAATATGGGTATGTCAGGCAATGTCTGCTTTTTGCTTCTAATGGAACTTCTCACTATGATTAATGTTTAGGAAAGAGAGCAGGATAGCTCTAGAACGACATATGATAGTAAGAATCTGTTTGCTTGCGTAGTAGATCTGTTCGTTGGTGGGACTGACACTACGTCTGCCAGCCTAGAATGGTGCTTGCTCTACATGATGAGATTTCCAGACATACAAGGTACCATACGAATGTAACCCTTTAGAGTTTAGATGTCATGCCCTGTAAAGCTCTACAGCTGTGTGACCTTGACAATTATTTGTTTCAGAGAAATGTCGAAATGAAATAGACAAAGTTCGTGGAGACCGAGAACGGCTTGACTATGAGGACCGAGTGTGCATGCCGTACACACAGGCTGTTCTACAAGAGGTTCAGCGTTTCACCAACGTTGTGCCATTAGGAGCTCCTCACTCAACGCTAAAGGATGAACAACTGAATGGCTTTACTATACCAAAGGTAAGTTAAAGGAACACTCCAGGCACCAATACTAATTTAATACATTTAGTAAGTTCTAACCTTATTAATATGCTTTTTTTCGATGCTCAGATATTTATAGTTTTTGCATAAAATAAATGTTTTGCAGAATGCAGCACTATAAGCCTGGCTTCTTAGCCACCCCTCACTCCAGAAAAAAAGACTTCCTTTTCAAACTTATACTATATGTATGATGGTTTAGTGCTTAGACTGTATTGGTAAAACAGGGGAGGCAGCTCACCAACGCAGTCCGGAGTCTCAATTTTCCAGCTAGGTACAGGATGCTTGTTTGAGAAGGACTAAGTAGCACCTCACAGTGTTCACAATTAATATATGGAACAATCAACGGAGAGATATCTAATAACCCCTGTATGGGAGATATCCCAGTCAGGGCTGACCAGTATGAGTGGTACCCACCCACTCTGGGCATGAACCCTAATAATGTTACAAAAGAAAGAAAATTGGGAAATTCTCCTGAGGAGAGATCCCCATTGGGGTACAAAATGGTAAATAGGCTGTGACAAAAAATACAACATATGTTCTATTTTTTTTGTCACAGCCTATTTACCATTTTGTACCCCAATGGGGATCTCTTCTCAGGATAATTTCCCAATTTTCTTTCTTTTCTAATATATGGGAAAAAAACAAATGATGAAAGGAAATGGATAAGTGTATGGTCTAGTATTTTCCGCAACATGAGAAAGCAAGGAAAAAGAAATTCACTTACAGGTGAACGGAGCTGGCAAGAGCTCCACTTATAGGCACTTGAGTGGTATGGTCCCCGCGTAAGGATGCTTATCGTGTCCTTTGGTTTGCATGGTATACAGTGGTTCCCCCTGTACAGTGGTATAATTAAGTAGAGAAGAAACAGAAACAATCCAAATCAATCTGTGCCTTGTCTGTGCCAGGACTGAACTGGATCGTGTTATTGTTAGCAGTTCTCCTTTAAGCGATAATGTCATGCCTTAATTTAACATTATTTGCTAGACCATTATCCCTCAGGAGTTAAAGAATGTACATTTTTGTAGGACACCATGGGACACCATAGCTATTTCTGTTACAGTTGCAGCTCTTACCGCATGTTTTCTTCTGGACAGGGAACAATGATTATCATAGATCTGTCTTCACTTCACAAGGATGAGACTTACTGGAAATATCCTGATGAGTTTAATCCAGAGAACTTCCTGAATGAGGATGGGGAACTCCTTAAAGTAGAATCTTTCTTACCATTCTCTGCAGGTGAGTTGCAGGGTCATTGGTGGACTGCAAACATTTGCGACCAGTGTTTACATTAAATACGTGAAATGAATTTTAAAACAAGTACAGTGATGATTTACCATTTGTGTTACAATCCTCTTTTATGCGATGAGTACAAATGGATGTCAGAGCATCATGGGAAATGTACCATACAGTCACAGCTGAGCATAAGGTGAAAGGGAAACTTTGGAAACTCAATGACCTCATCTCAATTAAGTCAATATAGTGTCTTTGGGTCCTGGACATCATCCTACTTATGGGTTTAAACCATTTAACAGTTCAACCCCAAAGTTGATGGTGCCTACCCACTCGCCTCCTCTGGCAAATGTAGAAACCTTTCCATTGGGTGTCTGGAATCAGCTGAGAGCATCAGCGGGCCCACAGAGAAATATTTGAGAGAAATACTTTGGAAATGTATCTTTCATAGGGGAATGTGGTAGCAGGTTTGGGTGGACTTAAACAAAGAGATTCAGAATAGTTTATCACAATGGGGTTTTATTTAGTCAACACCAAATTGTATTGAATTTTAAATGAATTGCAACATATAGACTGATATGTCTGTATTTTATATATATATATATATATATATATATATATATATATATATATATATATATATATATATATATATATATATATATATATATATATAGTTAATACAATGCTAAACAAAAATCTGCACACCAGTCAAGCCATAAGACTTGCTTTTCCCACAGAAGAGTTGCATTAACAACGAAACAGCTGTCCATGAGTGGTTCACTGGTTTTGCATTTTATCCTAAATTGTGTTCCAAGCAGTTGTATACTGCAAACACAAATTAAAAGGAATCCATGTTTAAAATGGAATGAGGCAAAAATGTGATTCTTTGTTAAACTAATTTGCATATGCCCACCCAGAATCCTTTGCGGTTGTAACATCACTGCTGATTTGGGATTTCTGTGGGAAAAGCAAGTCTTATGGCTTGACTGGTGTGCAGATTTTTGTTTAGCATTGTATTAACTATCCACATACTTCAGGTGGAAGGGGTTTTCAATCACAATTTTTCCCCACCATAATCTATTTGGATCTTGCTTCACAAGCACTACCAAGCCTCCATAAGCAAACCAGTAACCAACCTCATGCTGAAGAGTTGCATTAACAACGAAACAGCTGTCCATGAGTGGTTCACTGGTTTTGCATCTTATCCTAAATTGTGTTCCAAGCAGTTGTATACCGCAAACACAAATTAAAAGGAATCCATGTTTAAAATGGAATGAGGCAAAAATGTGATTCTTTGTTAAACTAATTTGCATATGCCCACCCAGAATCCTTTGCGGTTGTAACATCACTGCTGATTTGGGATTTCTGTGGGAAAAGCAAGTCTTATGGCTTGACTGGTGTGCAGATTTTTGTTTAGCATTGTATTAACTATCCACATACTTCAGGTGGAAGGGGTTTTCAATCACAATTTTTCCCCACCATAATCTATTTGTATATATATATATATATTCCTGAAATTATAGAGTTGTACCAAGACATACGTGTCCCTCTCTGCCCAGATTATGTTGCTAATGTCTTTAAAGGACCAATGTTATCTAATTTTCACTTCTTGTTTTTTAAAAATGCATTTCATTGACATAACAACAACAACAACAACAATAACAACAACAACAAAGTATTAAACCAGGAAAGGTATATTCAGATTACTTTGGTTTTCAAGTACGTCCTGGGGATGTTACCTTAGCTCAACATCCAGAGATTATGAGATATAATTATATGTTTTTAAATTATGTATATTTATTTTCATTTTTGAGAAAATTTCACTTTATCTGACTGAACAGCCATGTTGGAGCTGACTCTGTTGTTATCTGACCAACTGCTGCTCATCCTAACTTGCCAGCTGCTGCAATTGGTAAGTGTACTCTGCAGAAACAGGCCAGATAGATTGATATGCATAGTTTTAAAATAAAAATCATTAACTCGAAAGTGAATGTAAATGAAAGTTTCATAATAGAGACACTATAGTTACCAAAACAACATTAACTTAATGAATCGGTTTTGGTGTATAGATCATGTCCCTGCAGTCTCACTGCTTCGTTCTTTGAAATTTAGGAGTTAAGTCACTTTTGTTTCTGTTTATGCAGCCCTGGCTATACCTCCCCTGGCTGGGATTCTTACAGTCTGCATGAAAACAAAGTGGTTTCATTTTCAATCAGATGTTAACTTGCTTCAGATGTTTAGATCTCTGTAAATGAAACATTAACCAGAAACAGTAGGTGCCTGCAAGGTCTAGCAAGCTATTAACAGAGCAGGTAAGCATATATTCTAAATTAAACAGACTGTGCAATAAAGGAAGTGTAAACATTACATCTCACTTTACAGGAAGTGTTTAGGAAGGCTGTGAACGTTAGATGGAGGGAAGTGTGACTAGGGCAGCATAAACAAGATGATTGAGTCTCTGAGACTGCACTGGCATGATCTACACACCAAACTGCTTCATTAGGCTAAGGTTGTTATGGTGACTATAGTGCCCCTATATATGTAATAAATCTTTAAACATGTGAAGTGAAAATTTGATGACATTTGTTCTTTAATTCAATCCTCCCCAGATACTGATATACTGGGGAGACACAATTGTGTTATATATATATATATTGCCAGCTTTTCTTAACTAGGGAGCCTAGCTACCTTTGGGAGTGCTGGAGTGGATTATTCTCTGGGGTCCAGGGGGCTGGTAGGTACGTGCAGTTGGGCTGGCAGGCGCAGTGGCTGTGGGCCGCGAGGGAGCTCTGATCTTCCTGCTCAGCTCTCTTGTGCACCTCTCAGTGATCCCGGGGCCGTGGTGACATCATATTCCGCCTCTGGTATCACTTTGGGTCGCGTGAGGGAGCTGAGCAGGATGAGCTCAGGACCTGCCAGCCAGTCAGCTCTTGGGCCTCCTAGGACAAGAGCCCCGGGGGATAGTGGGGTCTGAGGTGGCTTTCTGGCCAGCTCCTGGCATTTGCCAGGGCATTTGGGGGGTGTTTTTTTTTGCCGCCCCCCTGAAAGTGCTGCCCAAGGCAAATGCCTTGCCAGCCTCACGGTAGATACATCGCTGATTGTGAAAGATGTCACACACTGTAAGGTAAGCATTTGAAATGTTTCTTTTACTCTATAAGAGGTAGAACATTGGGATCATTTGTGTGAATAACCTTACAGCATGACTGTAAGTAGAGGCATAGCAAAACACTGGTTAAATTCTACTTCAGCTTTTTAGTCACATAATTTTCCACTATTTTGTTATGTTCTGTTTTTTTGTTTTCTCCCACAGGCCCAAGGGGCTGCATTGGAGAAAATCTTGCTCGTATGGAACTGTTCCTCTTTTTTACCACCCTCCTGACACACTTTGAATTTCAGTGGCCAGACCCAGCATCACCTCCAGATCTCACACCAGTGTTTGGCATTACTCAGCCCACAAAACCCTTTAAAATGCGCCTGGTATCACGCAGATAATCACCTGTAGATCAATGGATGCTGAAATAGAACCAAAAATATAACTTTTCTATAAAAACCCAATATGTAAATGTTTCAATAAAATGTATGTATTATTTTAAAATACTTTGCTGTTTGCTATCTACCATGTGCCATGGATATATATCTGCACTTGCCTTTTTATTCTTTTATTTACATCAGACTTTAGGTAGCACATTAACAGGCTGAGTGACAAAGCAGTATAGATATAGAACACTGGAAAGTAGCAGGGCCGGATTAACATAGGGGCTGATGGAGCTGCAGCTCCAGGCCCAGGCCCAGGCCCATGGAATAGGCCCACCTGACTGGTATTTTACTGGCACAGCCGGTATTTGAGGCTGCCTGGCTGTGCCGGTATTGCAGTAATACCGGCAATACAAATGCAGGTAATTTTCTCAGAATAAATGGAAATTACTCTGCAATACCAGCACCGGCCAGTAGGGGTCACTGTGTGGAGAGAGGCAGGGATAAGCAGTTACAGAATATCCCTGCCTCTCTCTACTACTCACTGATCCGTGGGGGAGCAGCAACACACCACAGAGTCCAGACAGCAGCTCTACAGCTCAGGTAAGTGAGGGATGGGGGGAAAGGCAGCAGGTACACATGGGGTCACTGAGACACTAGGGGACATATGGGGACACTGAGACATTAAGACAGACATTGGGAGACCTGGGAACACTGAGACACTTGGGGACACTGGAAAACATGGGGACACTGGGACACTAAGGGAAAATGAGACACTAGGGGACACAGACACTAGGGGACACTGAGACACTAGGACACATGGGGACACAGACACTGGGAGACCTGGGTACACTGAGACACTTGGGGACACTGGAAAGCATGGGGACACAGACACTTGGGGACACTGCAAAACACGGGGACACTGAGACACTAGGGGACACTGGGACACATGGGGATGCTGTGAGACATAGGGACATTGGGAGAAATTGGGACACGAAGACACTATGCTACCATGTCCCCCAGCCAGTGTCCCTAGTGTCTCAGTGTCCTCAAGTCTCCCAGTGTCTGTGTCCCATGTCTCTCAGTGTGCCTAGTGTCCCCATGTGTTCCAGTGTCCCTATATGTCCCAGTGTCCCCATGTCTATGTCCACAACTGTCCCCATGTGTCCCCAAATGTCTGTCTCCCAGCCAGTGTCCCCTAGTCTCCCAGTATCCTCTAGTCTCCCAGTATCCCCTAGTCTCTCAGTGTCTGTGTCCCTAGTGTCTTAGTGTCCCCAAATGTTTCAGTGTCCCCATGTCTCCCAGTGTCTGTGTTCCTAGTGTCTCAGTGTGCCTGGTGTCCCCGTGTCTCCCAGTGTCCCTATATGTCCCAGTGTCCCCATGTCTACGTCCACAACTGTCCCCATGTCTCCCAGTGTCTGTCTCCCAGTGTCCCCTAGTCTCCCAGTGTCTGTGTTCCCATGTCTGTGTCCCTAGTGTCTTAGTGTCCCCAAATGTTTCAGTGTCCCCATGTCTCCCAGTGTATGTGTCCCTAGTGTCTCAGTGTCCCCATTTCTCCCAGTTTCCTTAAATGTCTCAGTGTCCCCATGTCTCAGTGTCCCCATTTCTCCCAGTTTCCCTAAATGTCTGTGTCCCCATGTCTGTGTCCCCGGGTCTCTCTGTGTCCCCAGTATCCTAGTGACATGGGGACACACTGAGACATTGGGACACTGGGAGAAATGGGGACACAGATACTGGGAGACTAGGGGACTGGGCGACATGGGGACACTGACACTGTGATACATAGGGACACTGAGACACTGGGTGACTTGCGAGACTGAGACACTGACAGGGAGACACTGGGAGCAATCCATCTATACAGCAGAATCAAACTGTGAGTAGTTTGTTGGTGATTTTACAGAATTTTCTCTGCTGTCACTCCTTGTGATTTACATCATGTGATGTCACGCATAACTAATTAATTATACAAATGATTAAGGCTGGTATTTTTTTCCAAGAAAGGTGGTAACCTTAACTACTCTTCATATATTCTTGAAAAACCAGATGGAGTCAAAGCGCTTAAGAATATCTGCAGTGCTGCTGCACTACCCCCAGGTGACACACAGTAACACAAATTAGCAATAGATACCAGAAAGTTGGAGTGCGCTAGCAACTGCACTGGAGTCAGGATCTTCTCTGAGAACTCTGAAAAAATATACAGTATATAGTGCAGACTATCTGTATATACAGGGTATGCAAAATTAAAAGTATATCTGGGGATCAACTCACATGGACCAGAGCCCTATCACCCCTGTCTCTGGGTATGAATTGCTCCAATGGAGAGGGATAAACCCACAGTATAGCAAAACAGGATACTCTTCTGAATCAGATGTAATATCTAGGCAGTATAAACAAATAGAGAGGCAGGAGCCCAAATTGAATAGTATCAAACACAGTATTTATTTAAACAAAAGGTTAAAAACTCTTACTTGAAGTAGTGGGTTTGCCAGCAATAAGCAGGAATTTACACACAAGAAATGATACAGCTTAGACACTTCCTGGTTCCAGTCATGTGACCCCTGGGACCGCCTCTCTCTGATGTCACACGTGAAGCATTTCGCCCAGTTCCTGGGCTTTCTCTATGTGTTTATACTGCCTATTCAGAAGAGTATCCTGTTTTGCTATACTGTGGGTTTATCCCTCTCCATTGGAGCAATTCAAACCCAGAGCCAGGGGTGATAGGGCTCTGGTCCATGTGAGTTGATCCCCAGATATACTTCACATATTCTTGCTTAAAGGAGCACTATAGGGTCAGTAACACAATCATGTATTTCTGACCCTATTATGTTAAAACCACCACCCTGGCCCCTTCTTGCCTCCCTAAATATAGTAAAATATTAATTGTATTCAAGTCTGCAGCTTCTGGCTCAGAAGTGGTAGTCTGAGCAAATTACAATACTTCCCCATAGGATTGGCTGAGACTGTCAACTAGGCAGATCAGGGGCAGAGCCATCACAAGTCCAACATAGCCCTGGCCAATCAGCATCTCCTCATAAAGATAAATTGAATCAATGCATCTCTATGAGGAAAGTTCAGTGTCTGCATGCAGAGGGTGGAGACACTGAATGGCAGTGCTGCAGACTAGGCAGTACTGCCCCAGGAAGCACCTCTAGCAGCCATCTAAGGAGCGGCCAGTGGAGTTATTTTCTCTGAAAAGAAGGTGCAAAAAGCCCGAATGGAATGATTCTACCTACCAGAACAAATACAATAAGTTGTAGTTGTTCTGGTGACTATAGAGTCCCTTTAAGTTTGGAAACTTAAGAGGGATGTATGGGAACAAAACTTGTGTGGACTGGCTGACATTAAAATTAGTTTAGGTAATGCAGACGTTGGTCTCTGTGGCATGTCCCCTTTCTTCTACACTCACTACATACACCTTTTCTCTGTCTCAGATTATATACCAGGAATTTCTGCCTGCTAGTAAGAAGGTAAGGAGACAAGTGGACCAGCGAGTGCTAGGGGAAAGTCCTTAGAAAGCATGGAGTGAGCACATTATTAGACGCATTTATGTCTAGCTCAAGGTGCTGCCTGCATAGTATGCCCTTAGTTGAACAGCTTGCAGGATTGGCAGGCAGCCTGACATGCATTCATGCCAGGATGACCTTCCAATTCTTTGGACAAACATGCCCCCTTTTTTTGCAGGTCTTGTCACGTGATTCACACCAGTGGCACGCCCTTATACCCCGCCCATTGACTTCCTGCTTCACTGGACACTGCTGTTAGGGGTTATGGATATACTTGAAAGATGAAAGCATAAACTAGAGAGAAATTAGCATAGAGTATGTGTTTTCTTATAGCTGCATTCTATGAGTTTCCCTCCAGCACCATCTCCATCAGATACATGACGCTTAGGAGGTATGACTGTTTTTGGTCGATAAGATTCCTTAATTAGGCCCATCATAATTGTCAGCACCAGGCCCACTGTGCTCTTAATCCGGCCCTGGAAAGTAGGGTAGCATTAAATACGATAATGATCTCTTTCTAGTGATAAATAGAATCAGCTGAGTTTGATATGCCGTCAATATTTGATATGCCTACATCGGTGAAGGCGAACCTTTTTGAGCCCGAGTGCCCAACCCGCAATACGTGCCAACTTTTTTTTTTTTCCTCAAAGTGCCAACATGGCAATTAAACCTGAATACTGAGGTTTTTCGTTTAGAAAAAACAACTCGTAAAGTTGTCCGAACTAATTAACAACTTTTGTTTTAAAAGAAGAACACAACAGAGAGTTAAATTATACACATTTTAAATAATGGTATAAACAGATAAAATGAACCTTATATTTATTAGTATCTCCAACAAATGCAATACATACTCACAGACTGCTGAACATTCACACACAGACTGCTAAATACACACACAGAGTGCTAAATACACATGCACAGACCGCTAAATACACATGCACAGACCGCTAAATACATAGTCCACTGAATACACATACACAGTCTGCTGAATACATACACTGCTGAGGACACACACACGCAGACTGCTGAGTACACACACACACACGCAGACTGCTGAGTACACACACACACAGTCTGCTGAATACAAACACACACTGCTGAGTACACACAGACTGCTGAATACATATATACATGCAAACATACACTGCTGAATACACACACTGCTGAGTACACACAAACTGCTGAATACATACACACACAGACTGCTGTATACATACACACACACACACACACACAGGCTAGGCTAGGTGTGCTGTGTGCAGGTTGTGTAGACCTGGCTTATTGAGAATGGAGAAGGCAAGTGTGCTCTATCGAGGTAACGGAAGCGGAAGAAAACACCTGCTATATGGGTGTGCACTTTAATAAATGCTTTTTTTTTTTTTTAATGCCCGAGAGAGCTGAATTGCTTTATCTATCTGGAGTGTGCCTTTAACATGCCTTATAAAATTCACCCCTACATGCTTAAATACACAAATGCATTCACACAAAACAACATCAAAACAAATTGTAAAATGCAAGCCACAAATAGCCATACTGGGACTATAGCAGAACTGGAGAATTTTTCCTAATCCACTACTTTGTCCTTAACTTTGTCAGAGATAATGTGTAGGAAAGAAAT